TGTTCCACATTGTTCTCCCACTCTATCCAGGATCTCCTACATAGATCCCCCTCTGAGTGGTTGACAATGGTAGCTGGGCACCATCTAGTTCTTCTGGTCTCATAGTTGTATAGGCCAAGGATCACAAAGTACACCAGGCACCTGGACTAGTTGTTTCCATGCATCTTTGATTTTCTTCATTCTTCTTTTCCCTGGATGAGGAGAGACCCATTGTTGAATCTAGATGGCTGCTTGCAAGCTTTTAAGGTCCCAGTCACTACTCACCAAAGTAGGATGTGGAACAGTGTTTTTGTGTAGTATGTTATGCCAATTGAACTTGATGTCTGCTGCAACCATGGTCCTGAGCCAACAGGTCCAACTACTCGCTCCCTCTGGGTAGCTGGCTGTGGCCAAGAAGTGATTACAACCTTGTCCCTTGTCAACTCTACTATATACCTGGAAATTCTTATAGAACATATAAATACACTGCATAGACATACCTAATAGTTCAGCCTGTCTACCCTTTTATCCACCTGTTTATCAATATTTCCCTTCACTGACAGCACAGTATTGTATGTGCAAAAGGGTTCATCTTTGTTGTATGTATCTCCCATGCATCTCTCTATGTTTTCCTCTTCCTCAATGCCACTATGTTGATCACCTTTAATACACTTTAATACATTTAATACACTGCTCTTCCCTTCACCCAAATCAATACTTGTCTCTAGCTATCTAGTAGTGTTCCCTCCCCTCCCTTCCCACCCCTGGTAACCAACAAAGAAAATTTCCTTCCATATATAAACCTTTCCTTGACTTTTTACAATAACAGACTAATGCAATATTTGTCCTTCTGTGATTGACTTACTTCACTCAGCCCAATGTCCTCCAAGTTCATCAATGTTATGCAGTGTTTTGCAGATTCTATGTTATTTTTTTTTTTTTTTTTTTAAGTAGGATTTGGGTGAAGATTTATCTATGTTATTCTTTATGGTTGCATAGTATTCCATTGTGTGTATGTATCATAGTTTGGTTATCCATTCTTCTGTTAATGGGCACCTGGGTTGTTTCCATCTTTTTGCTACTATAAATAGTGCTGCAATGAACATGGGTGTGCATATATCTGTTCTTGGTTTCATGACATTTTTAATCACTCACCTTTTGTTGTCTACCTTTAACCTCACTCATTTAATCATGTTAGTAGTTCACAAAAACAAGGTTTTTCATAATTGCACAGATCTCACTTAAAATAAATTTTGGTTGTTAAGGGTTTGTGATATACCAATTGCTGATTTTCCATAAAAGGTCATGTCCGCCTGTCTGCCAGGGGCTCAGGCAGGTTCTCTGGCAGGAGGTTGATCTTGACTTTGAACATTGTGGAGGAAATGGCCTCTAAGAAATGAAGATGTTTACTCTTCCCCAATAGGAGAAGGAAGGAGCTCTGGTGGTGTAGTTGTTAAGGCATTTAGCTATTAACCAAAAGGTTGGTGATTCAAACCCACTAGCCCCTCTGTGGAAGAAAGATGGGGCAGTCTACGTTTTGGAAACCCAATGGGGTTGCGATATGTTGGAACTGACTTGATAGCACCAAATGAAAATAGGAGACAGAGCAAGCAACTCAGGGGTACTGGGCTCTCAATAAAACGACCTGAGGAGAAGATGATGGTTAACTTTTGAACCCTGTTCTGTTATTCCAAACTCCTCAGCCACTAGGTTCCCTCAGAACTCAACTGTGCTTTCTATTCAAAATCTCTGATCCTGGTGTCTTTAGTTTGCACTTACTTGCTTTTCCTGTTTCACTTTCTCGGTTTGCTTTACATCCACTCTTGAAAGCTAACTATTTGGAGAGTGGTCATTGTCATAGTGACCTCAGCAAAGAGGAGTTATAGTTGGGAAACTGCTATGCAGAAGGAGCTGCACTCCTGAGTGGAACATCCTGCAGCTAGCGTGGCAATGTAGACATTCTGGCCAATGGCATGAGGGCAAAAGCAATGTGTCCCTTCTGGGTCAAGGCCCGAAGAAGATGGTGAGTCTCCTCCACACTCTCTTTCCCAGGCCTCAGCTCAGTATAGATGACAAGAAGGGTCTAGAGCATGGCTGAGCCAAACTGTGGGAGGGGCCTGGGTCTCTGTATCATCACATGGAAGAAAAGTCACCTGTTGATATAAAAAACTCATCTTGAGTTATTGTGTGAATGAAAAATAAAACTTTCATTGGCTCCAGCCATTATATAATGGAGACTATTTGTTACAGTTGTTGTTGTTGTTAGGTACTGTCAAGTCGTTTCCGACTCATAGCGACCCCATGCACAGCAGAATGAAACACTGCCCCATCCCGTGCCAGCTCCACGATCCCCTGCTATACTTGAGCCCACCATCGCAGCCACCATGTCAATCCATCTCGTTGAAAGCCTCCCCCTCTTTCGTCGACCCTCCACCCTACCAGGCATGACATCCTTCTCCAGGGAATGGTCCCTTCTGACAACATGACCAAAATAGGTGAGACGAAGTCTGGCCATTCTTG